GTATTCAGACGCGGTGCACCTCCTTATCGCGCCTCCGAATAAACATTTGACTTCCTTCAGTTATCAAATAAGCTGCCAGAGGAAGGAAAAGTCTTTCGTTGAGTTTTTTTTTTCCCCCCAGATATGTGGAATACCCAACACAGCAGCAAACTCATCAATTAGGGATAACAGAGCTGTATTAGCACCGCTAGAAGTGTCAGATATGTAGGTGGAAACGTATCTTGGGCTACATCACCCCCTCTTAATACACAAACGCAGCAGCTATTAGCGTTAATAGAGCCCTAAGAGCTTCTCTTCCAGGGAACTAATTCGAAAGCAAGAGGTTGCAAGAAGTACATTGGTTACCCAGATCCTGAGGCGAAGGTGGCATTTAGGGATATCTGATGGCTGGTGAAGTCAGAGAGGAGAATAACGCGCGGCATCGCTGGTGGTGAATTATTTAATTTTTGCTTTCTGTAGCACAACGCTCCCCCTACAAACTAATTCACAAGACCAAAAAAAGAGGAAGAAACAGCACATGAAGTGATGCAGCTCGTTGTTCTGGCAACAGGAGGTTGCTTCCCATGCACTGTGCAGTAGCTGTACCTTGCAGGCTCATTTAGATGTCGGCAATTCTTCCTCTCTCCGCTCTCCTCCTCTCAATACCAATAAATCTCACCACTAGGAAATTCTTCCTTTGCATATAAACCCTGATCCTCCCCAAATCCTGCTCTAGGTACTTTAATGTTGAGAACACGGGCACGAAAACCAAGCTTCAGGCCCGATTCCATATTCAGTACAGAGATTACTGATTAGGTTGCTCAAGACACGCTCCATTATAACCGCTGGGTAAGCCCACCTAGAGCGCTCTCGAAGATATTTTGGACAAGGTGCTTTTGGCAGGAGCTGCCTCCAGATTTATTGTGTGAACAGGACCGTGATCCCAACAAAGGGGTGCCCAAGTGATGCAGGGACACAACGTGTTTCTTGGCTGGGACATTTCGAGTGCACGACTGAGCACTGCCTTTCTTAACCCAATCTACGCACTCCAGTTTCCTGGCTGTAAAATTCCTCGTTGAGCTCTGCCTCGTATCCCATATTGCGTGGATTTCACAAATGTAAGTTTTACTCGAGTGCTTCTCTATTTTAGGATTCTGCAACGTCACTGAGAAACTGCCTGGTCCTCCTGAGCTGAAATAACTGAACACACATTAAAAAAGACAAACACCATTTCCATTTTTGTACAGTAATTATCTTTAAAATGTGGGAATGCCCTTTTGGTTACACACACCACAAAACTATTTAACACTGTGGCCCCGTAACTCTTACAGACTTTAGAGCTCACCTGTTTACGGTGCAAATAACTTTTTTTTTTTTAATTATAATCAAATTCTCACACTTCAGCAGCGCTATAAAGGCACTGTTCCCCATGGGTGGCTGCTGACCCCACACACCATGAGATCCTATAACCACTCACTAGTCACGGCCTGCTCCCTTACTTAACCTGGGGTCAGGCCAAATTGGCATCTTACCTTGCCGAGGACAAAGCACTAAGTGCGCTATAAACCAATTATTACTGGAATTACAGCTTTTCCCCAGAATATCAACAGATCTCCCGTTATAAATAAATCCACAGTTAGAGTCTCGGGAAGAGGCCATTTGAAATCACTTACATATTCATTAGGCAGACAAAGAAAGTGCCATTTGTTACATTTGTTCACACATTTCGAGATGCCATCGAGGTGCAGCAAACGCAGTGCTCATGCAAGGGATCTCATCCAATAAGTACTGATGACAATTAAGTCAAACACAGCCACATGATCAGTGCAATTAAAATTCCCAAAGAGGAGCACAGATGCACTCTAAGCCCCCAATCACTTAGAATATTTTTGATATTATGTAAAAGAATCCCGCTACTGAGCATCAAGTCTTTGCTATTATACTATTAAGTAATTACAATGAAATTTGAAAACACTAATGAGATCTTCAGAGTATTTGCTGTACCCACTATTTAGAGGGAAAAGAATCAGTCTGCCTTCCTCCAGCAAATTTGGAACAACCTCCCTCAAGCAGCTGCAAAAGTTTTTTCATGGAGAAAACCCAGACAAAAACCTGGTTTCAACAACAACTCCGCATTTGGGGAGCCTGCGTGGCTCAAGAGACTGGTAATAGATGGGTGACGATTGGGGAAATCTGTATTCAGAGCAGGAATTGAAATTCAGACCCCAACGTGGATATGCATGGGAGAAACTGCAAAGTCCATTTCAAGTGTGAAGCTTGGTTACCTTCTCATCCCTTATTTTAAAAATTAAATGAGAGACAGATGTGGCATAGTAGTTTGGTGTCCATTCAAGCTGTGACTTCTTGAGAGGCAAGCTTCAAAAGCACAGTCCTATCCCAAATGAAGATAATTAATTCTGATCGCAATATTGCTGAAACTGTGAGCCCACTGAGGACAAGATTGATTACCATCAGGAAACAGGGGCTCACCCTTGGTGGTGGTTTCACCCAGCTGAGCAGCTGAACACCACCACAACCTCTTTCTCACTCCCCCTCCTAAAAGAAAAAGGGGGAGAAAATACAATATGGGGAAAAAAGGGCTAACAGGGTGAGATAAGGACAAGGAGATCACTCAACAATTATCATAATGGGGGAAACAAACTCAGCATAGGGAGATTCAAGTAATTTATTGCTTATCACCAGGAGACTAGAACAGTGCCATGGGGTCCATCCATCGGGAGCAAACTGCTCCTTTCCTCCTGCTTCAACTACCTCATATCCCTGGGGAAGCAGTTTGCAAGCTCAGATCCTCGGTTTATCTCCAACTCCAGTCAAAGCTACTAGCAAATTTACAGGGTCCAAAAATAGCCATTGAGGCCTGCACCCTTTTACCTTTTTTTATAAGATGATGACCTTGCCCAGGACACATCCCAAAGAAAGAGCCGGCACAGCTGACCACAAACACCACTCGTGGAGCCTGTGCACATCCCGGTACACTTACCTGGCCAGAGATGGTTGGGTACAGTCCGAGAGGAAGACAGTTTTCTCAGCAGTCAATTTGTGATTCAATCATTTTTCCATTAATGCAATCAATTTTAGACCTTTGAGGCCAAATTAAATTAGACTAACCACCAAAACAAGCTCCTACTAATGATGCACCTAACACCTGCATCGCATCCTTCTACAGCAGCCTTTGTAACAGAATCAAAATTCAAGTGACTTGAATTTCAGTGACTTGAAAGAACGTGGTCACAACAGGGAAGACAGAAAACACAATTTTTCAACTCTGAACCAAAACCAAGACAATCTGCATTTGTACTCGGTTCCTTGGCCAGGTCCTTCCAGGTGATACCGACCTTGATCTGCTGAGCCGCTATGAAAACCAAAACCAAACAAAAAAACACACTGAGAAGTGAATTGAGGAGGGGACAAGAGGCCAGATTTCAGTCAGACAACTGGGATATTTCTAAACGTGTTCTCAGTGCCAGGTCTCTGCACTGTAACGTGTACAAGAGGCACTCCTCCTGCTATCCCAAACCTTACAGTGGGAGGTGGAGGCAGCCACACACTCCTGAATGGACAATTCCGTTCAGGCTCCATGAACAGCAACAAAAAGGCACAAAATTAGAGATTTACCCTACTGGCAGGAGGCTTCAAAGCTGTGGTGCTTCTCAAGGGCATTCTCTTTCCCCAACCTCCACAAAAATAGCCTGCTGACTATCCGTTTACTCACATCATTACTGGAAGAAAAACCTCCTGTGATGCTCACCCTGCCCACCTGAAAAATATTTCTATCTTCTGGTAATAAAACATCCTAATACGGTACATGTAATATTAGGAAAAAAAATCAACAACAATTTATGCACTTAATCCCAACAACCCTTCAGAAACTCTTAGCCCCTGTATCCTCAGAGCCCTAAATCACGTCACCTTATTGATTAATGCCACCTCTTTTATTCTGCAGAAGGGAATCCCCTACTCAACTCACATTTATCTCCCTAGAAAAAGCAGGGCATAATATATATACATGAAAAATATGGCAACTTTTTACGATAATTTCTGCAATAGCATGCGAAGAGATATATAGGGTAGAAATGCCACACCTTAAATTCATATGTTGGACAGAATGAATAGCAGCTAACATAAAAGCAAGCCTGTAACATTTTAATCCTTTAATTAGGTAAGAATCAGTTTCTTCCCAACAGTTCTTCCTTATTAAGAAGGATCTCAAGACATCTACAGATCCTCCAACTGTTATTCAAACTCTAAGCCACGAAAGTCTTTCAAGCATCTGGCGTGTTTTATGCGCCGTGGCAGCTTCTTTAGCTTCGAATTGAATGATTTATTACCATATAACCTAAGCCTCTGATGAGATTATGCTGCCAATTTGTGCCTTCTTTGCGAAGAGAGGTCTCCTGGATCCTAGGCTTTGGACTGAGCGTGGTGAATCTCAATTAAAGGGTGACCTTTACAAGACAAGGGAAATGTTAATTCATGCTCACCTAAATGGTTTTAACCCGACTTGAAAGCGGGGCTTTCTAAAGCTGCCCACTACTTTGTCACTGTAAAGTTTCATTTCAACATTATCAAGATAAAAAACTCTTCGGTGTAAAAAAAAATGGATATATCCATCAGTCAAAGCCAAAGGAGAAAATCCAAATGCTAATAAAGCTGTCCCCGGTGCATTTTTCATGCTACTTGAAAAACAATGGTTTCACATTTGTAGGGACGTCAAATACAGATTAGAGGAATGACAGGGCCAGAGATTAAACACTTTCTACCCACTGAACAGGTACGAGACGAGGCAAGAGCAACAGGTCCTGCCTCCACACTCACCCTTCTCAAGGTGTGTGTTGGAATTTGCCATACCTGGTGGTACCTCGCTGCTTTCTTGAGATGTCTCAGCTTGGAGGGTATAAAGTTAGCAGAAAAGGCAAGATGGAAGCTCAGACTTGACAGATAACTGGCTTTTTTTCATTGTTATTAAGATTAGCTGCTCTATCAAGCGAGAAAAATAAAAGCAATGTTTCAGCAACGTGTTTATTATCTTGCAAATTAAGTTGGCGAAAAAGAGGTTTCACAAATCACAGACAAGTAAACAAGAACTTGATTCACAGAAAAAAAGGATCTGTACAAAATGCAGTACAAAAAGATATAGGAAATTACTGAAAAATGCCAATGTTAGCAAGATTTCAACACAAAACACAAACACCTCAGAGCATCTTAGAACTCTACCCTATTAAAGATTAAACAAACCAGGCCAGATTAAACAAACAAAAGATATATGCAATGCCAGCACGGAGGTTTCAAAATAAAGCTAGCGTTCTAGAAAGTACACTTGGGTAGCGTACAAATCTCTTCCAAAAATATACAACATCCTGAAGGATACATGTCACAGTTTGGGCTAACCTGGTCATTAGAGGTCCCAGAAGAACAGGATTACCGGGGCTCACGTTGGCCAAGCCAAATCCCAGGCCAGCTAATTGTATTCAGCTGATCCACATTCCCGCTGGACAATCTGCTTTTCATTTTATACGATTTATTTTTCACTGTGTGTAGCCTAACTCTGCATACTCTGCCATACTCTGATTCCAAGGAATGCACACTATTAGCATTAATAGAAGATAAGTGTAGGAATTTAGTTCTGGGGTACCAAAGGTACACTGGAGTGTCCTGGTATCGAACAAACAAACCAAAACCACAAGCATAAAAATATTCCTTAAACTAGCCAAGGAAATGACTTTGCAAGAAATAATGTCCTAAGGGAAGCCAGAGCTCAAAAATCAGGTTTTGGCTTCAGACGATTAAAATTTTCGAGGAGACAATGGCAGTAGCATCCACTCAACCTACAGAACCTTTTTCATCCGTTCAGGTTGTTGCAGCCAACTTCCAGCAGTGCCATGATGATCTCTCTTCAAAGCAGAGTAGACTATCAGAAACCAGACCTCCTCAGACCAAACTGAGAGAATCCTGATCCTAAGCAGCAAGACAGAGCAGTTTTAAATACATGGTTTACTACTGAACCTGACACAAAGGCACAAATTCCAGGAGAGTACGAAGCTCTCACACGGAGAGGAAGGAAGAAACGTATTATTTTAGATCACAGTAAGAAAAGTACCTGCTCGACTGCATGGTGGCTGTTTTATTGCTGGCTGTACTGATTGAAATGTAGACATTGGAACAGGCTGCCCAGGGAAGTGGTGGAGTCACCATCCCTGGAAGTCTTCAAAAGACGTTTAGATGTAGAGCTTAGGGATATGGTTTAGTGGGGACTGTTAGTGTTAGGTCAGAGGTTGGACTCGATGATCTTGAGGTCTCTTCCAACCTAGAAATTCTGTGATTCTGTGATTCTATGTTTCCAGTGTCCTTCAGAAAAGCAAAGTGGGATTCATCTGTTCCAGCCTGGGACACACCTTACGCAGACATAGCACGATTCACTGCCCAGCACAGAGTAGCCCAGAAAGCTGTGCTCTGGCTGACAGAGCGGTAAGGAGAGCAGATACTCACCGATACACCAATAAAGTTCATTTTGATGAAGTTAGATCCAATTAGAAAGTAAGCGTATGAAAACACAGAGACTGGTTTTAATGGATATCAAGGCTTGCAGTGTATCTCACTGCAGCAAGCTGAGATGGCTCAATGCCTCCAAAAGCCTAGTCCCCATGAAAAAACCTCCTAGAATTGATACAAAATGGGATATTACAGTTCACAGCCATAAACATTTCCTACCTATTCTGCCTTAATCTGCATAATACCAGATAATTCTACAGCGTCTTTGTAAATGCACCACAAAGCCCCCAAATTCTTCAGTAATCCAAAACTCAAAGCTGGAAAGGAGCTGAAAAGAAGTACCTGGAAAATCAATGTTTGCTTTCCAAACAAGGGATGCTGAGACAGAAAGAGTCCCAGAAAACCTGGAAGTCTCTGCCCAGAAGTGTAACAACAAAACACCAAGCAGACCTGGACACAGCAGCCTCCCAGCAATACCAGTAAGACTGAAGCATCCATCTATGGGATTATTTAATCCTTAAAAAATGAGTGCTTTTCTCTGTGTCCTTCCTCATATCAAGAGGGGAGAGAAGCCGAGCCCTAGCAGTTGATGCAGAGAGAGTGAAAAATTAAAGCTCCTGAAGAAATTCATAATTGATCGCATCAGCTTTGATTTTCAGCCTTTATTTGACACGATCCTCTACTGGTACAACGCCTTGATGCCCTGGTATTTTGGTTTCTCATATTAAAAAAGGACAATGTGGCACCTGTAAATCTACATGGTAGAGTTACTGGAGGTCCTTTGGCTCTGAAGTGAGCAGCGTATGGAGGCAAAGCCTAAAGCAACAAGATCCTGAAGCTGAGAATGAGAATTTATTTGGGAATCCTAGGAAGGGACCCAAAGGCAAATATTGAAGGAGGATGTTGGAGCATGCTGCCATGCCACATCACGGAGCAAAGCACACTGCTGGGCTTGTGTAAGGCTCAACCTCTGAACATCACTGGTGGTGCAAGCTGGGACCGAGCATCCTCAATAACGTGGCTGCTGCAGCAAAGGCTGCAAGAGCTGTGGGCACTGCTAAGTAGGACGTAGGAGCCAGAATGTGGCTAATACGTGGCTAGCAACAATCAGCTTTGTAATATCTGCTTTCACAAACTATTCTGCTCAAAAATAATAAAGCAATTATTTTAAAAATGGTTGTTTTAAGAAGCAAAAGCAGGCACAGAGCCAACTTTCTGCTCTCCTGAGGAGATGCAAACTGGGAGTCCCCCAACACCCAGCAAAAATTGATCAGCTATCAGAGGAGCCATTTCTGCTCAGAAAGAGCAGTCAGGCACTGGGACGGGTTGCCCAGGGAGGTGGTGGAGTCACCGACCCTGGGGGTGTTCAAAGAGAGGTTGGACGTGGTGCTTGGGGACATGGTTTGGTGGTGACATTGGTGGGACGGGGGTGGTTGGACCGGATGATTTTGGTGGTCTTTTCCAACCTTAATGTTCTGTGACTCTGTGAAATGACTCGTACTGCCTTAGCCTGCTCCAAGTCCCCTACACAGCCTGATTTCACAGCCCAGGGCTGACTTTCAACACCCTGCACCTCCCCGAGAAGTGGGAGATGGAAGCCCCAAACCCTCCGTGTTCTCTGGAGGGAAAGAGATGCCCCTTCTTGTTCCACCTACCCTGAAGTCTGGCAGAGCTCAGCCTCTATTAAGCAGTGATATACGTCCTCAGACACTGGGAGTGGATCAAAAATCAGTTTAAAAAGAAAAACAACATGCCGTGTATTTGGTTAAAGGAATGGAGACAAAGCAGCCCGTCTGTTAAAACAGGACTGCCTCCTTCCCCAGGATACAAATATTCTGAATATTTACAAACCACTGCAGAATTCTCAACACACTGATTAGGAAAGGCAACGAGCCTCCCTCCACAAAGCAATGTGAACCTGTTGCTGTAAATCCAACGCAGAGCATCCTCTCCCTCACACCGGGCCGAGGCAGCCCTTGGCACAGCGAGGAGGATGCTAACAAGGCAAAGGGTTCCTCCGGCTCCCATTTTTAGGTGTCTCCTCCTCCCACTCTTCGCCTCCCTCTGAATTCACCGTCGCTTTAATAACAATCTCCGAGGCAAAATCAAGAAACAAATTATTTTCTTACACATAATCCCCCTTTTGCTGTCAAGTGCCTGACCCCAGTTTGATAATCTCATTTCCTGAGAATCAAAATGCTGGAAATTTAAGCTTCCTAGAGTGTTAATTGCGGCCCTGCTCCATTGCTAATCAAAAAATTGGATGTTTTGCATGAAAATGCTGCTCTAATTAATTCTCAGTCATAAAGCGCCCCAGTTTTAATAACCCCTTCTTGATTGGATAGCCTTTGAAGAGACAGTGCAGCTAATCCGCTAAACTAGAAAAAACACACGCAGAGGAAATAATAAGTGGGCTTACAAGGTCTGAACGAGATGATTGCATTAATACTGTCAAACCACAAAAAAGCCATTCTCTCCCCTCTCCTCCCTCTTCCCCCCCCCCAAGCTCAAAGCAAAGTGTGATCCTCCGCACCGCGGGGAGACCAAAGCAGCTGCGTGCTGGGAGCTTCCTAACATCAAATTGTTTCCCCCTCCCTTCACCCAACCAACTTTCCGATTCTTCGACGGGTTATCCCTCTTCCTACGGGGTATTTTTAACCAGGACTGCCCCCTCGTCACAGCCTCTCCTCTAACCAGAGGAGAATTACATCGCTTCCCCCCTCCCCGTTGCCTCCGACTGACGCCGCGTTGCCATACCCATCTCTAAAAGGTGCTGAACCGAATTTTCATTACCCAAAGTGTCAAGATTCGTTTTTGTCATCGGCAAGCACAGCTGGCTCCCTCCAGCAGCCCTTTGGTGAATTCAAATGGAACAAGGCACCGACAAATAACTGCATTTTCCCCGGACCTGGCCTTACACGGTGCCCTTGTCAGATCCGATACCATTTGCCTCCGCCGCTATTTCTTGGCGTCAAAATCTTAATTAGCAGAGTTTCTCTTTGATTTCCTTAATTACTTAAAACCTTCTGGTAAGAAATTTTCCTTCTGAGAGGGAGAATAGTTAAACAGCATACTGGTGAGCAACCCATCCCTAATCTTCAATTTGTATCATCCGTGATGTTCGGCCGCTTTCCAGTTTTATTTTTCACCTGGCCAATAAGGAGAATTTCTTGGAGGTTCATGTAAGAAATTAAGTTAAAAAATAAATAAATCTGGCATCTATAGCTTCATTGCAAGAGGCCTTTGTTGCACAGCTCAATTTGCCATCCTTGGTCCGAGCTGGATGTGACTTGCCTTTTATTCTTGTAGCCCTCCCACCGAGTCTCTTGGAGCACACCTGAGGAATTTGCAGCTTGCACAACGTGGGCAATTTTCAGCACTGCTGGCCATGCCCGAACCATTCATCCAAGGTCCAAAATTCTAGCAGGAGCCCACTGAAACGTATGAAAAGTGAAGCAAATGGAACTAACCAAAATCTTGAAGGAGAAGAAGGAAGGGCGCTGCATCACGGGAAGCTCCTGGAAGGAAACTGCTTAAATAACTTCATAAAGCAATACAGAATTTCGCTGTTTCAGCTCAGCACATGAAACTGCGCCCAGTAGTTGGGGGAGCACTGCTTTGGGGCACGAATTTCATTCTTTGCTCTATTAAACACTTCCTCCGTGAAGCCACGTAGCTTTTCTCCGCCTGCCTTGTCCAACAAGCACTGCTCTGCCTTCTGGTAGCAATAAGAGCGCAAACTTATGAAAACCTGCAGGACACCCACGTCGTAGGAGCAGAGACGACACAATTTCTCAGATAAAAAAAAACAAAAAAAAAGGAAAAAGGAAAACCCCGAAGGTGCAGTGACAATACAAGAATATTTCCAATGCTCTTACACAGCACAAAGCACTCGTAGGCAGCGATTTCTCCCGGGGTGCTGTGCAGGAGCTCCCACCACCATGCAGAGCTGGCACAGCAGCAGTCCCAGGGCTGCAGAGCCACCTCAATCGACACGTGGCTGTATCAAGTGTGCCTAAACCATCATTATATTAACATACCTTGACTGCCTTAATGCATTCAGACTTCAACCAGTGCACAGAAGACTGGAAGGTGACTCTGGAAACCTGCCTAATTCTGCTTCCATTGTCCTTCCTGGGATGATGCCTCTCGTACCTCTGCTTGCACGGCTACACCCTAAATAAAAATCCTGCTCCACAAAGGCACGGAGAGGTTTAATAACGTTGAATTGCCCTGTGCTTCTTGGGGGAAAGAAATCAGGAGCCACAATTTTAAGAGGTGCCGAGCAGCTGTGGAGACCATTAACATCCACAGGAGCAGCAGCTGCTCGGGAGCACTTCACTTTTCATTCTTAAAACCGGCCCAGATGTACGACACGAGCAAAGCTGACCCCGCTGTGAACTACCAGGGCCTGTGCTCGCACAGATAACAGCAGCTGGCTGCTATTTTCCATGCTGATCAGCACCCTCCAGGCTCTTCAGATTTTCGCAGCGTATAAAAACGCCTTTTACCGTTTCTGCTGATAAACCGAGCCGAGGCCGGAGTCACCGTGAGCACAGAACGCACCTGCATTAATTCCCCATGGCCACGGGACTCTGAAACAATACCTGATGTGTTGAGAAGGAGCCCATAACCGACACCACCTTTGATGAAGTAACACCACGCCTGAAATTAGCAGCCAGCAGCGAGCAGCACGGTGAGACACACGAGGCTACCTGCGGGTCAGAAAACGACTAACTTGGGTTAGGCACCTGCTGAAATGAAGGTTATCATCCACTGAGCTTTCCCTTCTCAGTTATGGCTTCTTTGGCTTCCTTGCCTTTGTATTTATTTATTTATTTACCAATCATTACGGCTGAATCATCCATCCAAGGTCCGAACATCTATCAGGAGCCAACTAAAATTTAAGAAGCTTCAGAAAGTGGAAGCAAAGGCAACTTCCCCCCAATTTTATAAAGTAGGAGGAAGTTCTCCTGCCACAAGCACACAAAATTTAGCCAGGTAAAGCAGTGGAAGGCAGACTTCACGATCCTTGTGCAGTGCAGCTGTGCTGGTGGAGGCTGCTCCATCACATGCAAACTGATCCTTGCAGGCATGTAAAATGCACGGAGCGTGTGTACCATGCTTGGTACAATGACACGAACACTGTTACCAAAATACCAATTCAGAAACCCAAACATGCCTGGACACTACCTAAAAGAGCAGCGGTTATACCTCTTAATTCTCTCTTGAAGCCGTGTTTTCCTGATACCAATCACATCCAGTTTAATGAAAAACAAAACAAAAGCTCCTGCTGACTGCCTCCTGCCTTACCGTGCAGCCCCAGGGACAATCTCCTACCATCTGCCATCCCTCTTGCAGTCCCTGACCCCCTTTCTAGAGGAAGAAGCCACATTTTTCTTCTGTTCCCAAGGATCTGTTGGCAATTGAAGGCAGCAGTGGAATGAAATAAGGGGCATGCATGGGATTCATTCCACTAGTCAATGACAAGCAGCCACCTCTGCAATGAAATACAGCAATGTTTTAGCCTTGTTTCCTAGGAAAAAAAAAAAAAAAAAAGAGTTATCTGATCTTCTGTCTGTCCGACTGGTTGTCCCATCCTCACAACAAGTGAGCTGGAGAGCCAATTTCAGCCGAAGGTGACAGAGGCATAAATCCTAAAGGCAGTAAATCCTCAGAGGTCTCGTGGATACAGACAAAGGTGGGATAAACGCGTGCCTCCACAGAAGGAAAAGCATCAGCAGGCACTTGTTAGCTCTCCATGCTGCTGGACCTACCAGCATGCTTGCTTCCAAGGTGCAGAGCTGCGTGGTCGGGACGTACTTTGCTTGGTCCGGCTGTGACACAGGCTGCTTTTTGCTTAGCGGGTGCTTCGGGGACACAAACAGGCGCTGAGGGGTGCCAGGAAGGAAGCAAGGGGGATGAATGCGATGGAGAGACATGGTGAGAAGTGTGGCTAATGAAAGAGAAGTGTTAAGGGAGACCAGGACACATCTGCGATGACCCAGGCTGCAGTAATTCAGCCACTCGTGGAATATACTAAAATAGCTAAAAAAAATTGCTAAAAAAGCAAAATAGTTTTGCTTTTTAAATGTACCTCCATTATTTCAGGATGTCTATAAAAAGATCATTGTATCTGACAAATGGCAGAAGGGCTCTGAGAAGGAAAATGTAAATTCCCCAGCTAGCCAAGACGTACTCTTGGAAAAAAAAAAAAAAAAAAAAAAGAAGAAAAAAAAAAAGAGACAATCATCTTTGGGTTTGGGTTTTGTACAGAAGAAACCAGCTCTGACATTGTACTTCTGGAAACATCCCGGGGCACCACATTTCTGGTAGTCTAGAAGGAGATATTTCACTTACATACTTGCTTCTGATTTTTTTTTTTAATGACAATTGCCAAATGACTTCTGTGTCTGACTTAAAGCGAAAAAGACACGGCCTAAGTCCTCCTCCTCTGATTTCAGTGCCAGAAGATGCAAGAATGAATCCTTCCTTCTCGCAAGCACTTACAGCCGGTCCCTTTCTCCCACTGAGGGATAACGTCTGCCTTCTGCACTGTACTATTTCAGTCCAAACGAGAGAGGTTAATGACAAAGCATCACTCTGATCTTCACACATTTTAAGGCTATTTAAATTAAATTCTTATTTCAAAAAGTTGGCAAGAGCCAAACTTTTATAAGTTCTTTTTCTTTTTTTTTTTTTTTAATGCATATGTTTCTTTGAAGACCTTTTCAGGAAAAAAGATTTCCTAACAAGCCACCCTCCCCCTGCTGCCACTGAAAAAATCATCCCTGTGGATAAGGCTGTCAGGAAGAGAAACTGTGTGGCATTCACAGAAGAGAGAGCGTCACATGCCTGCCTTCCAGTAACCTGATTGAACAATTAAATTGTATTTCTCTTTAAAAGGGGGGAAAAAAAAAAAAATCAAAATGCAGATCTTGCTGTGGTCTGGGATTCAGGAAGATTAATGAGCTACCTAAAAGGGAACAGCAGTTTATAATAGGAAGAGAGGACAGTACATTTTTAACATAAAGTTCAAAGGGAAACTTTTCTTGATGGTTAAACAGCAAAGATTTCTTAGCAAAGTCATCTCATCTATTGTCCCTATTGACTCCCTACATTGACTTTTTGTCACCTATTGCATCACTTCCCAGCTCTTCCGATTCATCCATAAAGGGCAATAGCATCTTGGCCCTAGCCAGGCTAATTCTTATATTTTGTCCTTTACTCCTTTTGTCAACTCTTCAGCTTTGTTCTTTCCAACCCCACGCCAGCTCGGCAGCTGAAAGTCTGCGGAGCTCTTTCGCACCCTCGTCTCTTGCAAAACGCTCCCAGCCTCCTGCTCGTGCCAAACGCCACCTCGGGATCTGCCTCCTATCAAGAAGGGGCTGATCTTTCAAGAAACCCGCCTGTGCCCCACAGCGAGGAGTTCTGAACCCTGGAAAAGCAAGGAGCTCTTTAAAAACACCTCCTCAGCTCAGTGCAACAGCAGCGGTAACCGCAGCCCAAAACCACCCTGATCTCAACCATGGTGTATCTGGAAGAGGCAGATTTAATATCTTTGTCTTCTGTGTTTTTAAAGGAACAAGGTCAAGTGGCCAGATCAGGGCATGAGGGCAAGTGGAAATAACAAAAGGCAACAGGACTACTGCCAAAGAGATTTGAAATTTTTTGAGGGAAGGGCTACGAGCTCCCTGATGGCCCCATCCCGATCCTAAGCTTAATGCCCTCAACAGCTTCCAAATTCTTGGCTTTGAATCCAGTTGCCCCATGCAGGCTGCAGAACAGAGTAAGTACTGTGGAGAAGTAACTACTCAAATCCTATTATCCATTGGTGTTTAAAAAAGAATAAAATGAAAAAGACTGTGCCATAAAATGGCTTACACTGAAACAACATCCTGCCGAACTGGGAGATTTCTTCCAGCTGATCCCAGGTACACGTGACAGATTGTGAAGGTGAGAGCCTGAGTCTTAAAAGGTGAAGAGCTGTGAGCTGCACACCTCCCAAGCGTGCATAATGGGTGACACCATCATGTAAAAGACAGGGATCTTCACCTTATTTTATTCCTATGGGCTGTTAGATTATAGTGTGGGCAGCTGTCAACTTCAGTACATCTTTTAATCTCAGATTCTTCCTTCACAGCCCATGCAGAAGGACCTGAATATTGGCCAGAGAGTGCATCATTGCCTATTTCATCATCAATATGAAGATCCTCTTTACATAAGTGAAGTGATCAGTCCACAGGAACACTGTACATCTCTCAGTGCTTCTTACCTCACTGCTTTGGGTCTCACTTCTTGCTGAGAACAACTAAATTACAGAAGGAGGAAGGGAACACAAAGGCATCCAATAATTCTCATGTAAATTATAAAATTTCCTCAAGTAAAAGCCATCTGAAAATTACCATGAATAAGATTTCAAGAAGTTTTGCCCTTGTCCCATCACTGTAATATCTGAAGAGTTTGTATTATTTTCTTTTTATGATTAGCTCAGTAAGAAACCACAACAGATGAGACAGAAAAAAAATATTCCTACTATACTTTAATGACAGCCTCAAGATCTTCCACCGATGTTGCTTCCAAAAGCAAGACTTGTGTGAATTAAGCCATTCACAAAAAAACGTGAAATGATGCCATGCCCAGAGAACACTTCTCTGTGTATATGCAACACTTGTCACGAGCAGTATAAACCAGCAAGAGCGGTCCAACACTTCAAACTCACCATTTTCCAACACTCTGACTCTTCAAATATTGTACAAAAGATACAGAATTGGTCACTTCCAACGGAAACTTGTGACTTCAAATACAAAACAGTTGAATTTTGCTCCCAGAGCAATCCAGAAGCATGACATCCAGCACACGACATAGGGAAATAAATTGCAGATAAAGAAGTAAATGTTAACTCCAAGTACCCAAAAGCAAGGCTCACAATGAGACTTGTTTGTTTCATCCATTGTTTCAGGACTAGTTTTTAGGACCTGGACCTTTATCTGAACACACAGAGAGAATCAAAAGAAACCCTGTTTCTTGACGGACCAAGAATAAGAGAACAGACCTTAAGAACAGAGATTTAGGCAGCCTGGGCAGCAAACCAGAGAGGTGTTAATACCTTGACATAGCATGGACAGCTCCTGCAGAAGAGAATTACCCAAACTAACACACTATTTCCCCACCTTGAAGTTCTCCGCTTCTGCTGTACAGCTCCCTCCTCTGCTCACGCAAATAGGCACTCATGCTAATAGCATGGGAAGAGGACTCAAACCTGTAATTAAAAAGAAAAAAGTCAATTAGCCATCCACAGAATTGGCCTTCTTGTAAGCACCAGACAGCTCTGAACAAAACGCACTTCCCTGAACGGTTGAGGAATACGACTGAGGCAGACAAAAGCACATTTTTCCTGTAAAACTCCACCACTGATGTACCATATTTTGCCACCTTGGGTCCACACAGCTCTGTTGGCAGCTGCCGGTGGCACAGACCTGCCTGCATAGCATGGGGATGCTCTTCTGAGCAGGAATGGCCCCAAAAAATTGGTGAAATCCAAACCAAATCAATGAGTTAGTATCAATTGCGTTGTTAACTGGCATATACATGAAGCCACAAATTAAAAACTAATACTCTCATTGAAACTAAAATGTAGTAAATTAAGTATTTATTGGATGGCTCCAATACTCTACAAGGATCAACCTGAGAGAAGAGATTTTTCAGCTAACAGAGCCCCATAAACATGACTTTGGTCATTTAGAGTAAAATGGCCTCATACTGCAAGGTCTCAGGATGGCTCTGGGCTTGCTGAGGGCTGCGCTGGGGGTCCCTGTGACACAAGAATCCTATGGCCGAGGGACCCAAGGACTCAGCCTGAGCTCAGTGCTGGGGACACCCAAAAAACAGCAGCTCTGTGTGTGCCTGGTGGGCACTGGGCAGCTCTGCCACAGGCACTGGGGACCAGGAAGGGGCAGGCAGAGGGGTGAAGGCATTTGCAGATTGCTGAAGTGGCACAAGATGTCTTTAATGACCAAACTCCTTATAGTGAAGACCTCAAGATGTTGAGGTCCTTCTGCTTGGGAAGGTTGAATCGGCATTAGCACCACCCAGAGGGATGCTACAAACCTGAGCACCGCACTACAAAGAAGGGCCGAGCATTTGGAAGCTTTCCTTGTGCAACAATTTTAAGGTTATTTTTATTAACGAGGCTCTTCTACTTTAATTTGGACTGCGAGTGTTAGCGTTACTGCGACTGGGCTAATAACCATATATCAAAATCTAACAAACGCAGCAGAGTAATTAAATGAACGACAAACTCTTGGCTTTGTATTTGTGATGTGCTCTCTTTTGCTCCTAGTGAAATATTAAACACAACGTTATCACCATGACCCAGAGGTCTTCTCCAGGCATCAAACCCAGAATTCAGGTTAAGATGAACTGCAGCAACAAACCTGATTCTCCTCCTGCTGCCCCAGACCTGGCTTTGAGACAGCAACTCCGATCTCAGCACACCCACTTCTCCCCCCCAGCCATCCAGTCTCACTCTCCCATTTCCCCTCCTCTGCTCTTTCCTTAATCTATTCTTCCACATTCCTATTTCCACTCAATGTCTCTTCTCTTGTAATCTCTTCCTCTCCCCATGCTGATGCTCCACTTGCAAAGCTTGCATTTTTTGTTTTAAACACATAATTTTAGCCAAGCCTGAAACTAACACATTGGGTGTTCAACACCTGCTGGTACAAGTCACTCCTTTCCCACCAATGCCCAATTTCTGTCTAGCAAATCTGATCTTCAGGGAGACAGCAACCTGCACGTGGCTACTTCTTGGAAAAGAAGAAAGAAGAAAGTCAGGCTTATGATAGCAAAAGCTACATGAATTCCCAAAGGTTTTGGTTTCTGAGCCAACATTAAACAATGAAATACATCAAGACTTCCCCACCTGTGAATTATTATACCCTTTTTTGAGATAGGGAGCCAACGATTCCAAGTCTCTTCCAGATGTTAGTTGCTGATTTCCAGACTGTAAGACTCGATTCAAGAGTCCTCATTCTTCCTACTGCCGTCTAGATCATACGTCTTCACGTAAACACACAACCAGAGGAAGTCGGATTTAGAAAATGAGCTTCTAACAAGCTGTCACAGGGCACGGCACAGGTACCTGCATCGAGCTGCGAGTAAAACACCAGGTGGAGCCCTGCCCTAAGAGACTCCTGAAGTGAGAAATTAAACGTGGCTATTCTGATGACAAGTGGATGGCTCCTCCGATTTGGACAGAGCTAATGGAAAGGCAAGAAAAAAGCCTCGCAGCCCGGCACGAAAAAGCACTGAAGATGGGAGAGGAGACAAGAATAACACTCCATCAAACATGCACATCCCCCAGCGGGCTGAGAAATTCCATTTCAAGGGAGATTTCCATAGATATAGTGACAGCTGACAGAAGACAGATAACCAAATCAGAGCTCCCAATAAGTGCTGCTGTCACCGTGGTGCCGGCGATGACTTGGTGACAAGACCATGAGTGGCAAGAGACGCGCTGTTCCGACGAGGTGAGGCACCTTCACTTTAAACAATTACACCTACCTTCACTCTCCGCTGACAAACTAATATAGAGGCTGAAATTGCTGTAGGTGAAACAGAGCATCCCCGTTCCTCAAACTTAAGTGGCCCAAGCACACCCAAGAACAGCCGCGGATTGAAAAGGTGAGCGGCCCTATTTTGCTCCGATAGAGATCTGCAAGACGGGGTGAATTCAAAGTGCGTAATTCTCAGCCCAAAGAGCCACGGGAGTGTTAAAAAAAGGGGTGGGGAGGAATAACCACAGGCTGTCAAGGTGGCAGGAGACACCTCCGAGATCCTCCAGGCAACATTTAACCTTCTAATAGCAGAAGATTAGGCAGACAGCTAATCCTCAGAGAGGGAGAGAGGGAAGTGCAAAAGCCTTTGGGTACTAAGAGAATACAGCTGCTACATGCCTATGCCCACGGGGCAAATAACAGGGAGTTCTGCAAGCTCTGGGTAATCAAGAAATAAATTTTAGCTGTAAAAAAAACAGCAAATGACCTGTAAAGAGGCTGCGGAATGTGAAGCTCCCCCAACCACTTGCCCCATCGCTCTTTGCCATTTCCATTACTGAATTTCCCGTATCACCTCCCCACCATGTAACGATCTACCTCAAATTACAAATGGGATGTTAGGTTAAAAAAGGTTAAAAAGAAAAGAAAACACCCAGAAAAACCCACCCAGACTTCATGGGCACCCATATCCAGCAAAATAAAGAGGGAAACTCTTTATTTTAGCTCTCTCCTCCAATCGCTCCCCCCTCCAGCCAACATATCAGGAGATTTTGTTAAACTTGGGCTTTCTACATGGGAGAGCAAAGCCTGGTAAGGCTAAATACCTCGCTAATGGGTAGTGAAAGACAGCTCAGCCCTGCAGCAGCTTGTAGTCTCGAGTCCACCCATCAGATACGCTGCCCCTGCTGCAGCTGAGCACGGGGAAAAGGTTACTGCCCCACGGTGCTGGTACTCCCCAGCACTGCTCTCCTTGCTGCTGTTCCCTCAACCCTACCGTTAAGCCTGTATGTTCCCTGAACGACTGCTTTAGAACAATGTCATTGTATATAAAAAAAAGTCATTAAAGAGGTTATTTTGGCAGTGCTGAGTTAGGAGCAGCCACACAGTTACGCTGGCAGAGCTGCAGCATAAGATCAAAGCCATCACCTTTCAACTTGGAGCCTCTGCTGTGAAAAGAGCACATTTTGGTCATTCCCCCGAATCCTCAAGGGGCCAAAGAGAATGGACCAGCACAGGTAGTCAAGAAATGAGACAAAATTTCAGCAAAGCTCCCTTAAGTCTTGGTGTACTGGCAAGGCCAACTGTCCTCTCGTAACAGCGCTGCTCACCAATGACTCCTCCTCACCCCTCATTGTTGCACATGAAATTTGCACCCCAAATCCCTCCCTTACCTCTCTCATCTGCTCTCTTACTCTCTCCTCCCAGCCACTTAATTCTTTCCACTTTGAATTAAAGGAGCAAGTGATAGGATTAGCCAGTTAGTCTATCTAGTAATTAGAGAGTTATCTTAATTCTCTTTGTCCAGTCCCCTTTATCACCCTTTTTAACAGGTCTTGAGCATACTGTGCACAAAGACAGGCTTAACGTATCGCTGCCTGCTCTGCAGCAGCTCATGTAAGGAGATCCCAACCCTGCAATGAGCCCCTGAACGAGCTGCACTCTACAAACCTGCCATGAATCCATGAATCCCTAACAGAGATCCTACTGAGGCTTCAGCTTCAGGCATTAAACCTCCATCTCCAAACTTACACCCCACTCCCATGTGAAACTGTGATTATCAGCCCGTTTTAAGTGCATCCTGGCACTTACTTGAACAAAGGGTTTTTAGGCCTTTGTGGTTTCTTCTTCGCGAAGAACGCTGCGAATTCTCGCCCCGAGCTGGCGTAGCTAAGCTGGGTGGATGGCTCCGAGGCAGTGCGGGTGTTCTTCATATCCAGATACTTCCGTCAGCAGCATCTGGGAAGCAGAAGAAAGAGGAACAGTGCTTAGAGATACAACAGCATTGCACTGTGACTCGGAATGTCTAGGATCTTTAAATACCATACAGGGCTGGTGATAAACAAATTAACAGTTTTAATTAACAGAAACTCAGCTTTATTTTCAGAAACGAGATCCTAGTGACCCATACGCCACTGTCACCGGTTTGATAAAAGCTCATCCTACATTACTCGACCAACTCAACCTGCTACAAAACCCTGATGGTACTGAAGGTATCTTGCAAGAATCTTGCGTTGCTTGAGCGTGTGTGTAGAGAAAATCAACGAAAGCTGGTGAAGAAACAAGAAAAAAGAGGTACGAGGAGCAACTGAGGGACGTGGGGTTGTTTAGTCCTGGAGAAGAGGAGGCTCAGGGGAGACCTCATTGCTCTCTGCGACCACCTGAAAGGAATACTGATATAATCCACTACAAAAACACAGTTTACATATGGAGAAAATGTACAGGCATATGTAAATTTGCATATATAAATATAAAACATGCATGTGTAAATTCATGTGGATATACTAAGGGTCACGAACACCGTTGGAAAAAATCCTGGGAATGCTGCAAAAATTGCCCTTTAATAGCTCCCAAACCGTTGATGCTTTTTTTTTTTTTTCTTTAAAAACCACCTGAAAATATAAATTCCCACAGTCATCAGTTCCTCAAACTCAGTTTAAATTTGATTTTCTTCTAGCCCAGTAACTTCAGAGAGGGGTTGGCAGGTCCCTTTGTGAACGGGGTCCTTTTGTGAAAGCCCCTGCAGCCTGAAGTGCTGGTCTGGTGTTTGGAGCTGCTCAAGTAACTCCACGGTGCAGAAGGAGAAACAGATTCAAAGTCCCTCGTTTTTTATTTCATTGTGTCTGGCAATGGAAAGAAACCCCTTAAAAATTAACTTTTGTCAGTGCTTTCAGAAATTCATTATTTATGTTCAGAAAACTCCTACCTACTTGGAGGCTATTAGTAATGTGTTCCATTTCAGTAATTAGCCAGTCAAAGCCCATCAAAGAGAGTTGTCTTAATGAAAGGAATACATCAGTGCAGTGCTGTCTATGTTAAAACAAATTACATACGAATAAATATCCAGGCAAATGGTATCGTGCCCCTAATTAGAAACAATTCATGATTACTTGGGAAAAAAACAAAATAAAATAAAATATAAAACTCCAACTCTTAAAATGTCTCTATTAAAACTTTACCTGAGCACAAGCTTTTAAAATGCACGCTTATTGTTCAGAGTAAAATAATCGCTGTGCTAATTTTTAACAGTAATTTACCAAATCCGTTTGTATTCGCATATTTGCATTTCATCTTCTCTACTTGAATTAACAACCCTAAAATCGCCACGAAAATGTAATTAAACCCTCAAACTTAATCAAGTTTGAAAAAAAAAAAAAAAGAAAGAAAAACATTTAGCAATTTGTTCTCATGTTATGGATGAAACCTATTTATAATGGATTCTGGGATTCTGATGTCCCTTTATATGCAGGACTGGAAAATATGAAGTGTGTAATACAGCACCGAGCTCCACGACTACAATAAGGCAACAGAGGCTTGTGCTGGGAGTATAATGAATTGCTCCTGTTAGTTAAAAATTGAAACAGAGAAATAAAAGATCAGCTGTGGTTCGATATTCAGAAGAGTTCTGAAAACACCGCAGATTAGGAGAAAGGAGGAAATTGTTCATTTATGGCATCGCTAGGTAGGCCGAGCAGGATGCTAAGGCGCAAGGCTCTGAAAAAGTCAAAGGCTTGTAAGAGCAGCAGAAATTGCTGGTTTTGATAACTATTCTCAAAGTTCATCTTTAAGTTATAAAATCCAAGCCTAGCAGAAACCGTGCATGACAGATCAAAGCTCTTTGTGCTCCAGCGCCCTGTATTCAAGTTACGCCGATTCTTTGGGACCGAGTAATTAACTGGAAGCGTGGCTGAGAGGTTACAATACGTAGCCAAGCCGGAGAGAAGCTGAGACAGGAGACATCTCCAGCACACGGTACGTTTGGCTTTTAACTACAGCACGAAGATGAAAGCCTTTAACATTTTTAAGCAATATTATCCATATGTGGGACGCTCTTCGTATCTTGCCAGCTGCTTGCTTGAAAAATTAGGGTGAAGTTTTAGCTTCTTGTTGCTTTGTACAACCCACGGCCTTCACCCGTCATCGTTGGCCTCAACGTAATCCTTCCAGCTCGATGTTACCCAGCTGTTCTGCCCTCATCGTGGTTATAGGCGATTCTAACATCATGTTTCAGTGTCATTAGTTGGAGCCTGACCCTGTACTTACCAAAAATCACAGCCAGAGAGAACTTGGAAATCCACTTACGAGGAAACGCAGACGTCTTCCTGCCTATCAAGGTGAACAGGAGCTTTCCTTAACGCTGAAGTAAGGGATTTGACAATTGGGTCCCATAACACCTGGTTAGCAGTCGCTAAGCCATCAATCAAAGACCTTGTTAGACATTAATCACATGGACGTACGGCAAGATTTATGAGTGACTGCAAAGTTTGCAACATCCCATTCATCTATAACAAGGACTTTTGACTTCCCGTTCGATGGTTGAGGTCTGCCATCCATGTAGTGTATTTATATCAATGTCAAGCAAATAAAGCTGTACATAAAGCGAGAGAACAAAGCACTCTTTACCCGGCTGCTCTTTGGAAATGAAAATTAATATAAATGTTGTATGAAAAAGGCAATATTTATGGATTTGGAGGCGTAATTAAATTCTGAAATTTCAAAAGGTCAGAGCATTACATGTATCCTGTCCGTCACGTTGGTCTGGTAACAGCTTGTTCTACCTCTCCGAACTACAACGGGGCAAGAATTTCCTCCTGTGGCTGATCACTGCACCCACTGAGACTTTCCAGATCCATGTTTTTAATTTTTGGTTGAGCCCCCTGAGCTGTGCAAGCTGATGAACAAAGCATAGGCAATAAAACGAGGCTGACCACAGAGTCACTGAAGAATTAATTCATTATTTGTGCCTCTTCTGAGGTTTTAGATGGGAGGCCTGAGCTCTATTTCATCAACTAGAAGCTGCAAACTGGTATTTCACATCCTCACATACTCTGAATTAAGACGGATGCTGCAGGATGAATGGTTGAAAATCCCATTTCAAAACAGGGAATCTTTTCCCAAAACCTTACTGTTATTGGTTCTCTTTGGAGATGCTTCCATCCCAAACAGCCCTACCGATCACAGCACCAACGGGACCTTGAGAAAAAGATACTTTAGGTAACTAAATCCCAAGACATTTACATCAAAACCAACCACATTCATTTTGATAAAATTTGGAAGAAAGCAGAATGTCCAAAATTCTGCTTCAGTGTGCTCCTCACAGGTAACTACTATAACAATTCAGTATTTCAACACTGATGCACGATCCCATTGAATAGTAGTTACTAACCTGTCCAGAGCTACCTAAAATACACCGAAAGAACTTTTAAATCTGTCTGAAAAGCTCTTTATACTCTCACACTACTGGTTATGCCTTCATATATTTGGGGGATCCTAGAGCTCAAATGGAAACTAGCACCATACCGTGAATTTTACAAGAGTAAATGGGATGAAGAGGTAATTGCTGGCCTCTCCACCTCATATTGATCAGGGACAAAATCACAGAAGAGATGATAGACGGCTCTATTAAAAAATAATTAAGGGAGAACAGCAGCATGCTACGTCCAGCAACATGGGCTTGCAGAAAACACAGTCTGGCTACCTGGTACTCCGAGGAGATGTCAAATTTGGTTTTAAATAAACCCAGAAAGTTATTTCCAAGAGGGATCTGACAGAAAAGCCAAAACGATAGCAGAAAGCACAGCATCCACTACCGTAAAAGTCAGTAAAACAGTGACAAGGTCCTTAGCATCCACGTAGAAATGAGGAAGCCACAAATTGTGGATTTTTGCTAGGTCCCAGAAATCTAAATCCCCGCTTTCCTTTTGTCATTCGTATTCCAAGTGAAATGCAAGTCTGCTCCAGAGCCCTTCTCTTTTGATTGCTTAGAAATTCTCATTTCCAGGCGAAATTTTTGTTTTCTTAAAAGAGAACAAGTAGAAGAAACTTCATCAGATAGCACAGACAAAAGCAGCTGAAGCAACAACTTTCCATACTGAATGGACCAGAACTGTTCCTGGCTCAAGTTCCTATGGAAATAATGACTACAGGAGGGTTGTGGCTGATAATATTTTTGGGGAAAATTGGTAAATTATACGAGTAACGGATCATTGATACAAAATAACACAGAATAATATTTTTTTATATTATTTATATAATATCATCAAGCTACTGTAAGAATTTCATTGTCACCAGATGTTACTCTACACACACGGGGAAAAAGAATGAGTCAGGATCTGTAGGACTGTTGTGGAAGACAATGACTGTAGCAAATTTGGGAATATAGAAGATAATCGGCAGCAGAGAAGTTCCCACTGTGACAGTGGAGATTAATTAGCTAATTGGAAATGGCTACATAAAGCAAAGAGCTTTGTCAGAAGTAAAAGTTGGCAGCAACTCTCCGTGTCGGTCACACATCTGGAAGTCACCCATCTGGGGGGCCGAGGGAAACCCTGGCAGTCCTACAAAGAAAGAGCAGGCAGAAAGGGAGCAGAAGGGGTGCGCGAAGGAAGCCTGGAAGTTATTAAAAGGAAGGCACAACTACGGCCAGGCAGCAAGAAGTCGTGAGCTCAGCCTTGTTAGCTTGGCAAAGAGAAGGCTAAGAGGTTACTGGATCAGTCTGAGAGCATGTAACACCGAGAGCACAGAGCTGAGGAGAGACGTCTTCGCTAATGAATTACAAAAAAAACTCCAAAGGCTGGAAAGTTGAAGCTGGCTGGGGTCTGAGTAACAGCGAGGCATACATTTCCAGAGCGTAATTAACCACTCACATCAAAGGTTACACTGCATTCGCTGCCACTGACTTTTTCTTCTCTCCCCTAGTCAGGACTGGACTGCTTTCTAAAGG